CTCTACCTTTCTCTCTCTCTCTCTCTCTCTCTCTCTCTCTCTCTCTCTCTCTCTCTCTCTCTCTCTCTCTCTTCGTCGTCGTGGTCTTCTCTGCAGGTGTGCTCGACGGCTTCTTCGACCTTCGAGTCCGCTATGGCGGACTTCTCCTCTGTTGGCAACTTCGACTATGGCACGTTCTCACCCTGCGACACACAACGGCGCGCGTGGAATAGCGGGTACCTGCTCTGATACCAATGCAATCAGACTCACACTCATTCACACTTCTCATGCATGCAAACAGGTGCGCAGCAAACTGGCGACAAGCGCCCACTCAGAACTCAGAGATATGGTAACCGAGAACACAGATCAGATACAAGTTCACTTCGATGGTTATGGCGACTCAGCGCCCACACAACTCTCTGTTCGCATACACAGGATCACCCGAGATATCCCACACGCGATACTCTGAACACACTCACACACATACACTGAACTCTACCTACAGCTATGGCGGCTATGGCCGCTACTACCCTATCGCTATGCCTACGCTCCTTCTCTCTCGCCCACTTCGTCCTCGGGCTCACTGCAGACCACATTGCACAAGTCGCTTGTGGCAGCGCTTCCGCATGGCTCACGCAGGAATGAATGAATGGCTGGGCGTTGCCTCTTGATTTATACTTCTGCAACTCATTGGTCTGGCCCCTTTCCCATGCCCGTAGTGCACACAGTCCCATGCAGTACTTGCTTGACTGGACCAGGACTGCCTAGGACTGGGACTGCTGACTCAGCGCGGGTAGACTCCACCACTTGCCTCACCACTTGCCCACTTGCCTCAGCCTAATTGTGGGAAACTCCGAAAGGCCACTACTCGGACCATCTGGAAGGCCGCAGACTTGGCCTTTCAGTGCTGCAGCAGCTACGACCTTGACCTTTCTGGACTGTAGCAGCTACGACCTTGACTCTTCGAAAAAGCTAAAGTTACAACTTGTAGACCTGACTGAGACTCCTACCCGACAGGTCTACAGATCAAACCCCTGCTACCGATGGACCCTACGACAACCTACTAACTGTTACAAATACACAGGTCGCAGGTTCAACTCTAGGAGTCGACATAGATACTGTACACAGGTAAGGTGGGGGCTAGGGATCGAGCCCTGGGATCTGCATCACCTACTGCGAACTGGTGAATACCGTTTCATTAGACAGTCAATGGGTCTATGAGGGCGTCATCCAAGATGCAGTTCAAACATGTTCTAGAGGTAGCTAGGTGCACAAAGTTATTATAGGCACTTGCAACCTTCGGCAAATGTTCGTCCCAGTCAATCTGATATGGCTGAATGTACATGCGCAGCACTTGCTGCAGCAGCTTGTTCATCTGCCCGATCTGTCCATTTGTCTCAGGATGTCTACCTGAAGACGGTCAATTTGGAACCATATACCTTCATCAGTTGCTGCCATTGTTCACCTGTGAACCGCGAACCCCCATCACTTACAATAGTCAAGGGATGCCCAAAATCCTTCACCCAGTGATTAAAGAATTCCCTAATCACTAAATCAGTTCTTGCTTCCGCAGGGAGTGGAATGAACACAGCAAACTTGCTAAACTGATCTACCACCACCATAACTTGACTTTTTCCAATTCTGCTTTTTATCCTAGTGTCCATAAAGTCTATAGACACGGAGTCCCCGGGTCCCAGTGGTATAGGGAGCGGTTTGAGCAATTCAAGGGGGGGCTGTGTGAAACTCTTGTTCCTCTGACATACCTGACAGCCTTGCACATAGGAAATGCAGTAATGCTTCATTCCCGACCACGTGTAGGAGCGTAGGAGGTTAGTGCATCCATCCGAAATGCCCCTCAGTATCATGATTTTCCCCAAGTATCATGCTACGAATTTCCTCGTTGCTCGGGACGCATAGTCGATCATGGACGTCTGTCTTCTCAAACAACAGTCTCTGCGTCACCCTATAGTCCAGGACCTCGTGCGGTGTGGTCTGCACCTTGCCAATTAGTTGGCTATTGACTCGATCACTCGCATAGGCAGACTTAATTTTCTCCTGCAGTTCGGTGCTTGCGTCCAGATATGTGACAATAGCACCGAAAAAGTCAGCTCTTTTACTCAGCGCATCGGCGATGACATTGTACTTCCCCTTTACTGGCTTCAACTCAAAGTCAAATTGATCAATTTCCCCGACCCACCTAGTCAGTTTAGGTGTTATCTGAGCCTGGGTTTTTAACCAACGAAGTGTTTCATGATCAGAATAGACCTTAAAATGGCGTCCTAGTAGATAATGTCGCTAGTGATTCAACGCTTCCTGTAGAGCAAACAACTCTCTCGCATAGGTGGAAGCGGCGACCTTTTCGCTAGGCAGTCTACTGGACATAAATTCCACAACTTTGTACCCATTCACATCGTCTTGCTGGAGTACAACACCGATCTCGTATTGACTGACGTCAGTGGTTACGATAAAGAGTCGAGATGGGTCTGCGACTTTCAACACTGGGTAATTAATCATACATTTTTTTAGGCATTTAAACGACGCAGTACAATTCTGATCCCATTTCCAGATAGTTTCTTTCTTCAACAATTTGCGCAATGGGGCCGCGATTACCGTAAAGTTCCAAACGAACTTGCAGTAACAATTGCTCAGACCAAGGAGCGAACGCAGTTCGGTCAACGTGCGTGGGTTAGGCCAATCTCTAATGGCTGCAATCTTGGCGTCTTCCGGCTTGATTCCATCACCATCTGCCATATGTCCCAGGTACAGAACCTGACGCTTTGCCCACTCACACTTCTTGGGGTTCAACTTGAATTTCGCTTCATGTAGCTTCTTTAACACCAACCGAAGGTGCTCCTCGTGTTCACTCAAATTTTTACCAAAAGTCAGTATATCATCCAAATACCACATCAAACTTATCAAGCCAATCACGGAAGAGCTCATTCATACACCGTTGGAATGTTGCAGGGGCGTTTGTCAAACCAAGCGGCATCACCACAAACTCATTGTGGCCATATCTGGTTCGGAAAGTCGTTTTGTGCTGATTCTCGGGCAATACCTCAATTTGATGGTAACCCGATTTCACATCAATTTTGGAAAAATATCTGCAACTCTTAACTTTATCTAGGAGATGATCTATATGTGGTAACAGTTCAACATTTTTAACAGTTTTCGCATTAAGGCCCCTATAGTCTATAGTCTATGCACATACGCAGTTCACCGCCCTTCTTTGGCACAAGCAAAACCGGTGCACCGAACGGTGAGGAGCTTGGCTTAATCCACCCCTTCTCGATCAACTCATCCAACTGCTTTCGCAATTCGTCAAGCTCTTTCGGAGACATCCTATAGATGGGACCCTAGGGAATCCTACTTCCGGGTTCCAAGTCTATCCGGTGCTTGGTCTCCCTCTCAACTATTCCACTTGGGGCCTCTCCAACATCAACGAACTCAACAAGCAACTTCTCCACATTGGCGGGAATGGGTTCTTCCTCTTTCTTACTTTCACTCACCGGGCGCACATACGCAACAAACACTTGGTCGGTGAGGTCATTCTTGACTACATGCCGCGCGAACGAGCGGGCACTCATGCAATAAAGGGATAGGCTATTCTCTATGCCAGATGCATGATAAAGTCAGATTTTCTTCTTTCCATCTGCAAGGCTAGGCAAACAACATTCATGCTCACCCAGTTTCACATCTGCATCGGCGGCCTCACCCTTGTCAATTCCTAGTATCATGTCGAAAGGGAGGCTATCCTCCACTAAGAGTGTCAGGGAGTGCAGAACACGTTCTACCTTATCCCCTGCCTCCAACCGAAAATATGCCCTAACCCCTTCAACATAACTATCTACTATCATTGCCCTGTTATCTGCTAAGTTACTCACAACAGGCAGGTCCAATTTCTGGACCTTCGACCCTAGGCGCATCTTCTGCAGCCCTTTCTGGCTAATATAATTGCGCGTTGACCCACTATCTACTAACGCGCCCGCTCTACTGACCTCTATGTCTGCAACTAGCAACTGCCCTTTCTGTTTCTTCATTTCGGCCCAAACGCGGCAACGAGTGATCAGTTCATCATGTATGCGTGCGAGTGAACCACCTAGGGAGGTCCTGACACAAGCAACCTCTGGGCAGCTAACTAGGTGCGGACCTTCTAACATCTCAGTCTCTGCCTTTGGGACCTCTGGATGGGAGGATGACAGTTTGCTTGCATCCAGAGTCCCTGTAGAGGCTACTACCTCTACTGGTTGTTCCCTTTTGGGTACCGATACTCAGGACAGAAGGGAACAATGTGGTCGGGGTCACCACATTTGAAACATTGGCCGGCTGCCTTACGCTCATCCCAAGTTTTCTCATCAATCCCAGTTTGTTCCAAAGGTTTGCCTACAGCGATCCCGGGATGGGGTGGATATGGCCACTAGTTGTTGTTTCCTCTACCTCTACACCCTGTGGAGTAGGAACCTCTTCCGCCTTGCGAGGGACCATTACCCTACCTCCCGCATAGTAGCTACCTTCGCCACTACCCCTCTGGGCGGCGGGTCCTCTTCCTCCACCTCGGTCGCGACCTCCTCTTCCTCTACCACGGCCTCGTCCTCCCTGTCGTCCTCCCCTGCGGGCAGCACCGCCGCATAGTCCCCTCCCTGGGCTAAGTGATTGTTGCTATCTTCTTCTAATCCGTAGTCTATCTGGTCAGAGGTGAGTGATTCTAACCCTCCTTCGAAGGTGACCAGAAGATTGTCTTTTCCTACTATATTCCCTGAGATCGTTTGATCTTTCCATTTCTTACCGGCTTGCAGGTCCTTCCAATAATGGCAATATTGTGCCTCCTGCAGAAAACCAGCATGATCCACTGCGATCTTGCTGAACTTCTCGTAAGTCATTCCCTCTTCCTTTGTTTGGGAATATAACTGTGTTTTCAGGGGTTCTGGGAGTGCTTTCGCAAAGTTATTCAATATTTGTGTAGGCGTCCGTCCATGGTCTTGATATTGCAGCAATTCATCCATCGTGGCCTTAAGGGCCGACACACTCTTCCACTTGCGGTCACTTATAATAAGAATCAGGGATTCTCTCCTACGGGCTAGGTTCTTATCTTCAAATCTCTCTCTAAGAGCACTGAAGAAATCATCAATACACGTTCTTTGTGAGTATTGGACCATGGAAGTGCAGCCAACCTCTTTCATCTAAGAGATGGCAAAGTAATGGCGTCCCCTGCCATACATGAACTTGCCATTAATACGCAGTCCCAATATGGAATCTTTTGTGCGTATATGTCCATAGCCGCTTCCCAGTGGAAGATGCTCTCTTCCTTCTTTGCGTTATACGTCCATGGCAGTTTCACCTTGATCTTCTGCCTGGACTCCTCCGCTTTGTTGTCCCCTTTCTTCTTGGGACCCTTATTCTTCCTGTCTCCATCATCACCATCATAACTTCCATCTCCTACCCCACCACCAAGCTTTAACTTCCTTACTACGGCAGGGTCGATTATCTTTTTGACGAGGGTCTCGTCTAGCTTTTTTATGTACTCAATTATACAGTCATCTATCTGGTGAGAGGTCGTGCGCAGGAAGTTATTCCAGGTTCCCTCGAACTCTCCCTGATGGAATTTCAGTTTTACTAACGGATCAATGGAGGGCAGCGAGTTCTTCATTAGTATGAAGGAGAGTGTCAATCAGAAGGGCTATCCGTTCGTCTATGGCAGCTTGCTTTCCCTTTTGATCCTTCAACAGTGCTTGCAACCTCTCCCCCTCTCCCCCTCTCCTCCTCCTCCTTCATCCTTTTTGCAGCCAACAACTTGTTGTTGAGTTCGGCTCTCTTCTCTTATATCAACAAGTCCCTCTCTTTCTGGTCTGCCACTGATGCCATCTTAATCACAAAGGCATTTTGCTCTTCCTCGGTTTCTTCCGGCATCTCCGTTTGATACCCGAACTGCCCCATCCAATCCATCGCCTCCATTTGCAATAGTCGGATCGGCCCAACATGGCTGCTTTCAGCCTTCTCTTCTGTTTGTTAGGGTCTCCTTCTTCTATCCAACCTCTCATTTTCTCCCTCTTCTTCTTCTTCTTCTTCTTCTTCTTCTTCTTCTAGTTTCTCCAGCAGCTTCTCCTTCTCTTTCATTTACTTCTCCATCTTTTTGTTTTCTTCTAATAACTTCTTCTTCACTTCCTCCTCCTCCTTCCTTTTCTTTTCCTCCTCTTTCTTCTGTTCTGTCAGGTGACGGTCTATATCTGCCTTCTCTTTAGTCGGTTGTGCCTGTGTTGACTTCCCAGTGCCAGGCGGCGGTCTATCTCTACCTGCTCTTTAGCCGTTTGTGCCTCTGTTGACTTCCCGGACCTTAGCACCGCATGCGAGAAGAGGGTTCGCTGGAAGCCAAGGGGAAAAATAAAGCGAAAAAGGGGTTCCCATAGCACAGATAGGGACAAAACTGCGAACATGGGACAGTCATCCATGGTAATCAAAGGCACAGGCAAGTACCCTCCACCTCCTTACCACTTAGACCTACCCCCTACCACTGTCATCCATGGTAATCAAAGGCACAGGTAAGTACCCTCCATCAAAGGCACAGGTAAGTAC